GACTCTACAGTTATCACAGACCGCAATCGGGATTGGAGCCCTGTTTTCCTAAGCACAAGAGTCCTAATCACTGTGCAAATGCAGCATGCGGAGCAAGAAGATTGCACTCTACATAGCCAAGTAATGCAAGCCACCTCCCTTCCCCCCCCAGTCCCTGCTAGACACATGGCACTCTGCACAGGCCATCTGTACCAGGCCTTTTCTGACAAGACCTTATATAACAAAGTCATGCCTCCTTTCAGATTAGACCTTGTGGAGAGGAAAAGTGGGTTGAAATTAACTCAGGAATAGGGATTTGTTTCCTTGCTCTGCTGTAGACCCCCTGTGTCACTTTGGGCTTAGCCCTCTTGCCTCCATTCTGATCTGTAAAATGGGGATAATGGCGCTTTTCTACCTCTGAGAAGTGTTGTGCAGATCAATGCACACGGGACCACGAAACACACGGATACTGTGTGTGTTAGGGTCTGTAGAAGTAGCAAAGAGAAACAGAACCAGGATATAGTAGGATTAAAAATCCCATGGAGCATTTTCTTTTTAAATAAGACCAGGACTTTGTCTGGATGGGTTCAGCAAGAATTTCCTTACCTGCATTAAATTGCAGGGTGCTCCCAGGTAGCTGCCCTCTGCTCCAGCTTCAGTAGTATTGGATGTACATATTGCTGCTGGGTAAGTACGCTGTAAACCCTTGGAGGCCAGTGCAATCTCTTTGTCATAGATGTGTGTAGAGCCCCTGGCACATTGCATGCCCAGTACCTTCATAAAGCACAGAAGAAGTCATTGGGAAGTATTCCCTAGGGAAGCAAGAGGTATGACTTGCATCTGGGTGACCTGAACACTATTGTCAGTTGTGCCACTGGCTCGCTTTGATCTAACCTCGGCTTCCTCTCCGTGTAATTGGGGATGGTATTCATTTTTGGCCTCCCCAGCACACATTTATTTTATGTTTCCATTCCTTTGTTTGTATGTAGCTATTCAGCTGATGGGGCTCACTTCATTCAGATGTGTAAAATGCATAGAGCTGGACAGATGGGAGGTGGCACTGAAATGCAAACTATAATTTAATTGACAGTCATCCCCCCCCCCCAAGTGTGATATGTTGTCTCATGGGGTTTCCCTGTTCTCTTTCCCTACAGGTTACTCTGGCCAGGACTTTGACTGGGCAGATTATCAGAAGCAGTGTGGAGCAGAGGCAGCTCCTCACTTCTGCTTTAGAAACGTAAGCTCTGTTTTCCCTTTCTGTGGCTGTTGTCGACGTAAGTTGAATCCTGCTATTTATCGCTCTGAATTCAGAGCCTCCTCCAAAGCCTTCTGAGAGGGAAGTGTGCCCTTGTGGTTATAGTCACTGGGCTGGGAGATGAGAGCCCGTGTAGAGTTGCTCCTGGGGTACAATTCTTTGTATTGCTCCAGCCTTCCTGCGTGAGATGAAGTCACCCGCTTAATCTGTCCATGCCTCAGTTACCCCTGTGTGACAACTGATACTTCTTTCCTCTTGTTCTTGGTCTGCCTTGCCTGCTCGGATTTCATGTTCCTCAGGTCTGGGACTGTATTTGTGCAGCACTTAGCCTGAGTTTTCTTGGAGCCTGGAGGCACAAATGATCGGTAATAGAAAAAGGCACTGACACGAATGAAAACACCCCCCTGACTCGGCAGGTTGATGTTTTGCTTGTCTGAGGCATTTCTCTTGCTCCCGAGGAGGTCTTTGTCTCAACCCTACCAAGGTACCCAAAAGAGACATTGCAATCTTTTGAGCTCTACCTGCAACTCAAACTTAGGCTGCTGCACGTGGAGTTTCCACCACTGGGGCATCTTTATGGTTTTCCCTAAGATGGCAACCGTGACGCATGGACTGTTTCATTCTTCCCAGGCTTGTAAAAGTTTTTGAGCTCTGGAAAGGGTCCTTTATGGACTGATCAGACATGATCCATGGCATGAGAGTCCACTGCTCCTTAAGCACTGCAGTAACCATCTGTCTTCATGATACCCAGCTCTCTTCTCACATGGTGTCCGTGCAAGGAAGCTATGGGCCCTCCCAACCTGAGTATTAGTTGGGACTGATGTTCTGTGACCTTTTCAAACTAGTTCGTTGCTCTGAAACGTGAATGTAGAACAGATCCTTCTAACGGGGTGGGCAGCTGGGGCCTGTGGGGATCTGGGGAGGCAGCCGTGCATTGGTCTGAAAGAGGAATGCGGGAGTCCAGTCCCCTGTTTGCTCAGGCCGTTGTTAATCCAGGGAATCTGCCAAATCATCCTTTTGAACCCGTTCCCGCACTTACAAGGAATGTCATCCAAACCACCAGGACAGCCTATAGCACACCATAGTAAAAGCCAAGGAAATGGGGCACTGCCAGCGCCCTGGCACTATAGCGGCAGGAAAGGAGCTGGTTCATATAAGTTCAGAAGGTCCTACCACGCGCCCCGCTGCAGAGGAGGGCACCCTGCCATGTCCACCTGACCTAGGAGAAAAATTCCTCCCACCCCACAATGTGGTGCCTGGTTGATATCCATGCTGTTGTGACCTCCTAACTCGGTTGGGCATGGAGCCAGCAGCTGCCTGTTTTCAATCCCAAGCCAGTGGGTTTTGGGCAGGAAGTGAGGGGAATTAGGACTTGCCTTGGACAGTCATCCAAACCACCAGGACAGCCTATAACACACCATAGTAAAAGCCAAGGAGATGGGGCACTACCACTAGAGCACATGGGCTCTTTGTAGCAGGTAGGACTCATGCCAGCATCATAACTGTGTTCAGGGCTTTCTAAGGGGCCTATTAGTAGTCTAATATATATTCCTTTTTTTACTGTAGAGGCCAGACTCAGGCCCCTTAAACACCAGTAGGATTTGGATCGGGTCTTTGAGCAGGGTTAGGGACCTTGGTGTTCAAAGAAGGATGAGACAAGTGTTTGGAGAATAGGTCCCTTGGGGGTTGCTACCTACCCTTGGTTACTGGAAGTTTCCAGTGAGGGACAGATCATCTATTTCTGTGCTCATCCTCTAAAGGAGGGTAGCCAACTTCAGCACAAGTGGCATTCAGTGGCCTCTGTGTAACATGCAGCAGATTGGGGAGGAGACTGCTAGCACAGTGGCAGATAGGGCAGGGAGCAGAAAGAAGAGCAGTAAGTTGGGCAAGGAGCACAGGGCAGGAAGCAGAAAGCAGAGCAGCAGATCAATAACCTTTCCCCTGCCTGGATTGGCTTTCAGGGAGGGAGCAAAGCTAACTTGTGGCACGCCTGCCAAAAAGGTTGCCCCCCAACTCCTCTAAAGCATTTGTTATTCGCCACGGTTGGAGATAGTGTCCAACATTGGATGGACTTTTGGTCTCACCATGACAGCCCTTATCTCCTCATCCGCATGTTGTATCCTTTTGTATGAAAGTCTGCACCTTGGAAGGCATATACCAGCGGTTCCCAAACCCTGACAGATTGTGCACCACCAACTTCAAAATGATGCAACCTTAAGTACCGCCAGCAAATTTTTCAGTTCAGCCTTAAGTACCACCAGCACATTTTTGTCATATAAATCACAGCAAAAGCTCCGTTAGCCAGCACTCATGAGAAATGGGGGGCTGGATAACCAAATGTGCCGGTTATCTGAGAGGCATCTTTGCCTGGTCGGGCAAAGACACCCCTCCCACCACATCCACATCTCGGATTAACCATGCCACCCCTCTTGCCCCTCTCCTGGGAAAGGGAGTGGAGGGCTCCACACAGGCTGCTTTCCCCCGGGCTGTGGGATTCAACAAAATGGGAAGTCCCGCTTCTGGTTTCCCTTTTGCTGCGTTGACCAGCATCAACTGGCATGCCAGTTAATGAAGTGCTGGCTAATGCGGCTTTTACTGTAATTATAATAAATCTGTTAATGCATACTGCTGCCAGGTTATCTGCGCACCACTGGTGGTACCCATACCACAGATTGGCAACCACTGTCTTATACCATACCTTTTGGTCCCTAAGATGCATCCTCCCCCCACCCAGAATTAAGAAGTCTAAAATGAAGGTGAACTGAAGCTACAGAATGAAAAAGAATTGAAACCATTGACATAAGTTGACCAGAATTCAATCAAATTTATGTAAAATATTTTTTCCTACAATTCTGTCCTCTTCGGGGGAGGGAGGGGGTGCATCCTCTGCACAGACGAATCTAATGCAGGGGTGCTCAATCCCCAGTCCACTGGCCAGATCCGGCCTGCAGAGCCATGTCATTTGGCCCGCAGAGCTCCCCATGGGTCTGGAAATTTGGGGATGGGGGAGAGATGGCTGTTAATTGCTGCTTCCCTGGTGTCAAATTCCAGACCCACAGGGAGTCGCGTGGGTCAGATATGGCCCTGCATGCGTGGGGCTGCACGGCGGCGGTGCAGGGCTGGATCCAGCCCTGTGCCACTCGAGACCAAAAGGCTGAACACCACTGACTGATCTAATGCATTAGAACGACGGTAATTTAAGGCACTGCAGTTGCCAGAGGGCGTGAGCTGGGGCAGTTGCAAATGAAATGCAAACAAATGACTGTCACACTTCCCTTCCTTCTGTTTCCTCCTTTCTTTCTTTCCATCTCCGTTTCCTTTTTTTTATTAGCCTACCGCAGGTGGGCTCACCTTACCAGGAGGCCTGAGAATGAGTTATAATCTTCTGCAAAGATTAAATCAGCTCCAGTAACTTCTTTTTAACATTCATCAGACAAATGTGCTCCCATTGTATTGCTCCAGTTTTATAGCGAAAGCTGTAGTCTCTTTGTTTTCATCTGTATGACAACCCCAGCAGGTCTGTCCATGTTTTACAGTGCTATAAGTGGTTCTTTGATAGACCGCTTATTGCAAACCGTTTTGGGTTTTTTTTTTTTTTTTAATCACACATCTTCCGCTTAGTACAAGACATTGCAGGGAAGCGGATACCTTGTAACCGGTTCCCTTGGGATATTTAACAAGCAAAGGCCGTTATGAAATGGATTGATGTGCCCACGTGTGCTTAGTAAAAATAAACTCCCAGCTAACTGTTATGCCATTGATCCTTTATAAATTAGCCTGGAGCGCTGAGCCTCAGCACAAGGATCCTGTGTGAAGATAGATGCCATTTCCTTGTAAGCCAGCATAAAAATGTATTTAAGCAAACTCACTCTGATGTCCTGGAGACCTGGCCCATTAGCTGTTTCTGCTCCGAGTGCTGGGTATGGCTTTAAACCGGCCAAGCCCTGCAAAAAGTATGGAAATCGCTACAGGCGGCAATATGTTTCTGCAAAGATTTTTAATGAAATAAGGACCTGATTCAGCAGCCTGCAGTTTCATGAGTAGCCTCAGGGGAATCAGAGAAGGCTTTTGTTGGTTTTGCCTTGCTTGGGGAAGATGGATGAGTTGACGTTGGGTTAGCCGATATGTATTAGCTGTGCTTGATGATAATGCTACTGCTTTTCCTACTCGGGACAAAGCCATTGTACCCATGCTTAGGTGTATGGTTTGCAGGGTTGAGCCCTTAATCATCTTGGATTTGCAACGGTTGTTAATTGTGTTCATTACAGTAGTGCCTCTGGACCGACTGAGGTGGGGAGCCATCTTGACATAGATCTGTAGACAGTCCTGGCTTCCTAAATCTTAGGGTTGTTTTTTTTTTAATAGTTGAAGTAAAAGGGCAGGTATCAGAGTGATAGAGAAGTAGGGCTGGAAGGGATCTCCAGAGGTCATGTAGTCCAACCCACTGCCAGAGGCAGGATCAACCTGATCCAAGCCATCCTATACTAAACCCTATCTAAACCATCCATAATCTAAGCTGTACATAAGACTACTGTCAACCCTGACGCAACGCAGACCTAACACCCTAATCTGCCATGGCCAAAGCAGGGGAGCCACAGTAGCCAGTGTCCTGCTTCTATGAAACGCTGCCAATATATGCTCAAAAAATCCTGGGTAGAGGCCCCACTTCCACTCCTTCCACCCTGCAAAATCCCCTACAGTCTGTACCAACCTGACCACGGGTTAAAATCCCAAATACAGGGTCTTCGTAAAGTCCTTGTGCACTTTCAACTTTAATAACTTAGGTTGTGCACAAGGACTTTATGTAGACCCTGTATGATCATCAGTCTGACCCTGAGGGAAGGGGTAAGGCTCTTTAGTCGGGGACCTCCAGTTTTGGTCCCAGCAGGAGCATCTGCACACCCCCAATCCCACCTGCAGCCAAGACCCAATGCCTCTAATGGAGGCTTAAAAATATCTTGATGCATGTAGCAGAAAGGTGGGACAAGGGCCACCAGCAAACATAAGCATAGCTATGCCTAGATCACCCCCACCCGTGTCTGTCCAATGTCTTGAGCCCCTCCAGTGATGGAGAGCCTGCAGCTTCCCTCGGCATCTATCCCACTGCCGCCCTGTTCCAGCAGCGAAGAGGTTTTTCCCAGTTTTTCAGTCTAAACATTGCTGCAGCTGCAAGCCATCGGTCTGCATCCTCCTCTCTACAGCAGGAGAGAAAAGATGCTTTCTCGCTTCTTTATGGCAGCCCTTTGAGGATTTGCAGCCTGCTGTCATGTCGTCCTTCAGAGCCTTTTCCACAAGCTGGACATGACCAGCTCCTTCCCATATGGCTTGCTTTCCAAGCCCCTTGTCATCTTGCTTGTTCGCCTCTGGACTTTCTGACTTCTTTCCATCCTTTTGAAAATGCGGAGTGCAGACCTGCACACGCTGCTCCAGAGGAGGTTTAACCGGTGCGGAGTCGAAGGCACTGTCTGGCCCCTAGGAGGAAAGGTGGAGGGTAGAGATAAAAACAGCAAACAGAGGAAACACTGTGAGAGCAATGCACATCACATTGCTTCCACGGTGGTGTGAAGGGGAGGAGATAGTAGTGGTGGGGGCCTTGCTCGGAGAAGGTAAGCTCTGTGAAAAGAAAAAGGGTGTGTGAAAGGGATGGGGAGACAGGCCAGAGGACCTTAGCAGAAGGTCCTCAGGAGAGGCAGAGGAGGAGGACCAGTGTTTTTGGAAGTGAAGAGTGTTTTAAGGGTACAGAGGTGTCCGTCTGCTTGGGCACTTGGGGGGGTTGCAAGTGGGAATCCTCGTTCTGTTTTAGTGGAGTGACTCTGGTTTGGAGAGGAGGTTGGCAAAAGGTCTGCCATGGCTGTGGGTATGGCTGTTGTGGTTGTCATGACCTGTTGAGGCATCCGTCTGTCTGTCTGCAGGCTTGCAGGGCTCCCCAGCCCCATGGTAGGGGAGTGCCTTGCAAAATCAGAGCAGCCGGACCTTCCAGTGGTAGAAATGGGTGGGATTGCACTGAAAGAGCTATGCCCCTAACAGCAGCTCCACCCAGGTACCCCACAAAGGTGAACAAGTCTGTAATTCTCAGATAGGTTTATATCAAAATCCTGCCCGAAGTCCCTCAAAAGGTTGAAACTGTAGGCACTGAAAAGCTAGGAAATACCAGAATTAAGGTTGCCCGTGTCAGCTTGTTTGGCCTCTCTCATGCATAGACATTATAATAGATTCCTTGCTTACATGATCACATACCATTATTTTCCCTCATAATCATCAGAAGTAGGGAGAATAAAGGATGCCTCGGCAATTTGAATTGTGTTATTTCCTAATTTATGCATTGGTGATTTTGCATCCTTAAGAATGGTGCAATAAATTGAGGGGTTTGGGAGGCAATTTCTTAGATTTTCTTTTCAAAAACCGAAAAGCAAGCTAAACCCTTCCCCCTCTCCCCCAAGGTTTTTTAAAGAAAAAACTGCCCAAACTTTTTTAACATTTTGAAAACGAGAGGTTTTGTTAGGTTAGTACTTGGAAATTGGTGAGCTTTTTGTCTGCGGATATATCTTGGGTTTTGAGGGATGATATTTTGGGGTTTTTTTTTTTAATTATTATTATTTGTGTGTTTGCTTTAAATCAGATGGCAGCAGATACCCTGCGTGGAAAATCTCAGCCTCAAGCGTTAGAGTTTGGCAAAGTTATAACTGTCAGCTAAAAATTGATCTTCTAATGAGAAGTGTTGGGCAGTCATGTTGGGTAATAATAACACATGATGGTGCCAAGCTTATAATCATCAAAAAAGGGCATAAATAAAATAGAGTCTTGGAGCGTCTTCATCCAGATATACCAGACCTTTAGTAATGCAGTAAAGTGGATCCTGCTGGCGTTTCGGATGGAAACTTTGTTCAGCAACATGTTCTTATGCTTGTGTGCAATGGGTGTGCCCCCATGCCTCCTCGCCAGCTCCTTAGCGGAGGTGCATAGGCGTGGCTCAGTGTTTCGACATGAAGCAGCTAATATGATGAAGTGAACGGCCCATTTAAATCAGCGGAGGGTCTGGCTCCCTACATATACGAACAACTATTATGCTTGCTTTGGAAATGTGGTTCGGGGAACCTAGGCATTGCCTGACGGGCTGGGATCAGAGGTCCGTCTGCTCTAATATTCTGCCTCCCCCAGTGGCCAGCGGGACATGAAGATTTTAAGAACGAATCCTGCCTCCATTTAGCTTTCCTCCTACTCTGTTGGTTCAAGGTTTGGCTTCGCTCTGAAGCACAAAGTTTTACTGTTTCTTCCTGAATTTGCCATAGTTGATTATGATAATCCAGGAGTACTTCTTACCAACTTTATAATAAACCAGCGGTCATGAAGCATGCTAAGTTTTTGGTCCAGACAGTCCTAGATGTTACCCGTGGAAACCGACCCTGGCTAGATTTACATTCCCATGGGGAGTGTCCGTTTTGGGCTCGGGCGTGATGTTTCAGTGTTGGCGCTTGACTTCTTTCAGACATCCTTCAGCCGGGGCTTTACGAAGAACATGAAGTTGGAGGCGGTGAACCCGAAGAACCCTGCAGAAATATGCGTCGCTTCTATCGCATCCGTGAAAGGAAGGTTAATGTGGCTGCACCTGGAAGGTATGTTGAAATATCCACGGGGCTATGCTGGCTTGTTGTTTTTGGGTTGCGGTGCCAGTTTGTCGAGGTCCTCTCCTGTTTCCTATCTCTTACTCTGCCCCTGTGGAAATACTCGCCTGCTTTCGCAGCCAGTGATCAAGCACTACATTTAGTCTTTCCCCAACTTTTCCACTGAAGCAGACCGCCTGAGTGGAGGGAGACTGGATACCTACGACTTACACCCCTCTCTCCAGGAAAATCCATGAGACGTATCTTCCCAGGTGGTTGGTGAAAGGTCCCACTGAAACTAGAAGCATCCTTCAGACCCATCTCTGGCTCATACCAGAATGGGCATCTATATTGGATCTGGATCTCTGTTTTCCAGTAACATGCCTGCCAATCTCCCTGAACACAGACTTCCACAGCCTTCATTTTTCATGCACCCTCCCTCCATCTTTTCCATCATTGTCTCCGTCCATCTTTCCATTTTCATTGTCTCATTCCCCCCCAAATCTCATTTCTTCTTCTCCCCTTCCCTTCCCACTTCATACCTACCTGAATTCCTGCTATCTTTCACCCTGACCATTTGTTGTGTAGGGCAGAGGTGTCAAACTCGTCTGAGTCAGGGCCAGACCATGGGGGTTTATCCCAGGCCAGACCATGGGGTTTATCCCAGATCTGGGGGCTTCTCCCAGGCCAGATCTGTGGGGCCAGTGGCTGGCAGGAGGCTGGATGGCTGGGGCCAAGTAGCAAGTGTCTGAGAGTCACTTAATCATAGAAAATTGTGGATTTGGGCTTACTTTTTTTCAACTGAAAATTGGGGAAGGGATAGGGAGCAGCGTGGCAGGTTGGGAAGGGGTGAAGATTAGAACAACATTCAAGGTGAGTGCAGGACTAAACTTGTGGCATGCCTACCAAAAAGGTTGGCCACCTCTGACCTGTGCCCTTTTCCTGGCAGCTGACAAAGACAAGGGGAAAAGCCCTGGGGCATTCAGTTTGGAGAAAGAGCATTCGCCCTTTCATTAAATTCTCATCTGGGTCAGGTGACAGGCAGGTAGCCTTTAACGCTTTCTTATCCATTTGCAGCGGCAGAGCAGATTACCCATTCCTTGGTTTCATGTGGCATTGATAATCCTAAACTGAGAAGTCTTTCAGTGTCTCCTGATGAGAAATGCACTCAAGAGAACGACTCTTCCTTTAATGCCTTAAAAGTCCATAAAAACTTTGAGACGTAAACCAAAGTACCTTGGCTGCACTAACAGCTCACCGTTAAAAGATAATGAAGGCAGATGTTCTGTGGCATTTTCGCTCCAGAAAGTGGCGTTGTCGCATTGTGCTCTAGTCAAGGATCTGTCAGTGCCTCTGTTATAAATCCCATTTTTGGAGTTTTATAACTCAGTTGCCATTGAAAGAGCAATTCCCTCCAAATGGAAACTTGGCATTCAGCTAGAAGCAGAATCGTCAGCACTTATTCCGTCTTTATCGCTGATTCCCTGGCTTGTGATAAACGCTGAATAGCTGGTGAGATCTGATTGAATCCAGCTCAGGATGGCATTGCTGGAAACAGCGAGACCAGTTCAGTGGGCCAGTGGGATTCAAGTGTCTGTATCAGAGGCTTGTCCAAGCTCTCCCGCTGATTTGATGTGGGACCCTGAGCTAGTCCCTTCCTGACTGTTTTATCCTGTAAGCTAGAGCTCAGGGATTGTTTCTCAGTACAGCTTTGCTGCTTTAGAGCAGTGATTTCTCAACCAGGGTGCCGGGTTACATTTAAGGTACAGCAAGGTCCATTGAAGGGTGCCCCAGGGTATCAGGACATAAGCCAGGTGTGAGGAAATGGGGTGCTGCTCAATTCACACAAGTTATGGTGGGGTGCCTTGAGTCTAAAAAGGTTGTGATCTGCTGTTCTGAAGTGTTTTAATTTGGTCACCTCTTAACTCGTATTATTTTACAACGTGAGGCTGCTCGCACCGCAGACATTTGTAGTTACAAACTGAGTGCAAGCATGCACAGTACCTAGCACAATGAGGTCCTTTCATTAGCATGGCTTCATATAAAAGCAAGAAAACCCCAAGGGATGCTAGCAGAACAGGAGCATTAAAGTCTGGGCACTGTCCTAAATAACTTAGGAAAGTGAGTGTAGCTTACCAGCTACACTTAGTCATTCAAGGTTTTTTTTTTTCACTGAATTAGATCCCTGGCTGAAATCATTGCGTTTAAAAGTATCAAACTTTGACTCTGCTCTGTGGCCCTGATCTGAAGCTTAACACCAGTATAGTCAGCGGAGCTGCATAGATTTATCCCAGCTGAAGGTCTGGCCTTTATCATTTATACTGTGGTAATGTCCAGAGCAAGCCCTGTTGTGGTAGGTGTCGTGCAGGAATGATTGAGTAAGGTCTCCACCACAGAAGAGCTTAAACTTAATACAAAGCTACATGCTACATAAGTTGCCATCGGACAAAGGGATTGCCATGCTGGATCAGACCCAAAGTCCATCTAGTTGCTCTTCTTTCATTTGATCGCTGTGCACTCTGCAAAGTGGGGATGGGGTCATTATTTTGCAGGGTAGCAAACAGACACGGATCCAGCCACGATTGCCCAGTAAACCAATGGCGGAGTCAGGACTAGAATCCAGGTCTCTTGTTTTTTTTGAGTACGTGCTCATTTTATATATTGAGTCCTGGGATTCATTGGGTTTGTTTTAAGGAGAAAAAAAAAAAAAAAGGACTGAAAATACACAATTGATGATGATAAAAAGAAGAGGACTTTGTAGCTGGTGAGATCGGTGGTAAAACTCATTGACTTGATGGGAACAGAGGCTGGTGAAGGTCGGGCATTTTGGTTACTCCTGCCTGCCTGAAGAACTGTCATGAAGAAAATGTAATTTGGGGCGTGTGGGGCACCAGTCCCTCTCTGCCTTTTCCAAAGTTGTTATTTATATTCCAGTAGCAGCCTCCATCCCAACCGGGGCTCTGCGGTGCCAGACACTGTGGTCCCTCCATTCATCATGGCCTTCCTAGCTGCCGTTCCGGTTCTGTAGCTTGACAGCAAAGAGGGCGACTGTAAAACTGGATGCAGTAGTTAAGCAGCATCGAGTCAGACATGAGGGAACATTGCTTAATAAATCATGCTTTGTACAGTGGCAAAACTCTCTAAACTCCATGGTGAGCATTTAATGAGCAAGCAGTATGGTTCACCCAAAGCAGAGGAGGAAAAAGGCCCAGGGTTGATAGGAGGCTATGCGTCTCGTATCTCTTTTGGCTCCCTTTTGGAGTTATTACTCATGATCTGCACTGTTAATTTTTACTAGCTCATTTTCAGTTTAAAAGCTGGATCTTTCTGGTTTGAATTTATATAAGCAATAAGGTATATGCTCAACATGGCAAGGAAGGCTACAACCAGAAAGTGGGGCAGTAAAATAAAAAAATCATACTGATAAATGTTCAGGGAAAAATTGTGTTAACCTGTCCCAGAAAAAAAGAAAAGGAAAGAGAAGAAAATGCTGCTGAAATTGCACAGTCAAGTCATACATGGAACTGAAACTGGAAACTTTCCTTTTATTCTTCTTGTCTTCTGCTTTTATTTTCCATCTCTCAAGTCTCAGCAGCTGTATCTTGGGCTGTGAAGATGGTGGTGGTAAAATACACAAATCAAACCACCTGAAATCACAAACAGACCATTTCCAGTGATACGGTCCAAGTGATGTGAGGCAGTAAGGCGCAGGAAGCAAATGGCAGCGCTGTTGGCTGCTCAGGTAAAAAGCTGAGCTGTATGAAGCATGGCTTCATATACCTCTGTATATGCCTGTTGCAGCGTGAGGGGAGAAACATTGCAGCACCTCTTTGCCATTTGGGGTGGCCGAAGCTGTAAACTTTTGTGATCAAACTTCAGCGTGGCATCTGTTAGTGTTTGTAAGCAGAAAAGGAACATCTGATCTACTCATTGGACCAGAACAACATCATAGAGCAATTGTGGTGATGAAACTAAGAGATGTCCTGCCTCTACTCAGACTTCAGTCATTGACCCTGTGTGGAGTTGATTTCTTGAATCTTGCTATGGGTTTAGGGCTCAAGCTAAGGTCCATTGACTTTACTCATCTCCTGAGCTGGATTAGGTCGTAGCAATTGAGATAGATGTTATATATGATGAGATAAGATCCTACAAACTTTAAAACAGGCCCTGGGCCAGCTGGCAACATTATTACTGGTAAACGGCCATCAGGAGATGAAGGATTTTCAGTGGACGTATTATAGCCCAGGACAGGAAATACCTGCCTATATTCCCTCATTTGACCATGGGCAAGTTGTGCCAGGTATCCTGTGCCTCAATTTCCCACCTGTAAAATTGGGAAAGGACATCCTGGGGACTTTTATGAGGTTGTGAAGTGCTCTCATGGGGGCTTCAGGAACATCTAGGCAATGCTGGTTTATTTTCTTTGCCCAGATATATGAGTCTCTGGATGTTTTCCTGCCCGTTTTGCATCTCTGTGTGCATTAGACCATGTGTCTGCAGATGCAGAGGCTTTGTTTTTGAAGGCACTGACTCCTTCAAGCACCGCGACTCAGCCTGGACTATGCTGCTGTTACCAAGTTTGCATTATGCTGCTGGCCCTCAATGAACATTCATTCCTGGAAAGGTCCCTGTAGCCACCTAGCTCTAGGCACTGTTGAATAGCGCCGTACGAAGCAGGAGACAGGGATGCTGTTGCGGTTCGAAAGACAAGGATGCTGGAGGGGAGGCTGCTGCTATCAGCATCTTCTATTGTGGGGTACACAGTCACAGGAGGCAGAAGCAAGTGGGAAATGAACTCCTTGGCCAAACGCCATGGCATAGATAGAGGAGAGCTGGAGTAAATCAGCAGTGTCCTGACTGAGGGCACAGGCTGTGTCCCAGAAGCAACTAAAGTTCAGGGCAATCTTCCCATTAACTTCCCTTGGTTTGGGATCAGACCTCTGAAGAGGGGTTTCAATCCCGACAGGAGGTCTTATGAAAGAGCTTCATACGGAGAGCTTATCTAGTTTTACAGCTGTATACAAGAGATGGTAGAGCTGAATCGGAAGTTATGGTCCAGGAGCAGAAATGGCTGGGGGAAGTTTATAGCTCATGGTAGGTATGCATGAGATCCAGCCAGATCATTCTGTCTGTCTGCTTATCCATGTCATACCTCACGTCATGGTCTCCCTGTCTGTTCCACACTGCAACCCTTCACAAAATTACCTCTCATCTAAGGTCAGTAGCGCTGGAGAAGTCCCTAGCAGGTTTCATGGAGTCTGGCACAGTGGGCATGTCCCACAAGGGGTTAAGTTGTGGCCCCCAGCCACCCACCTGGCTGCCACTCTACCTATCTCCCCAGCTGCAGCAGCAGCTCGGGGCTCCAGACTCCCCTTCTTTCCTCCAGATTTCTCTTCTTGCCCTGCCCCAGGGCAACACAGAGGGCAGCCCATGGTGCTGGGGGAGCTTGATGCCTGGGCACCCATGTGGTGTAGTGCAGCAGGGGAGCCCATGGTTGGGAACGCAGTGTGGGAGCTGGTGCAGCAGGGGTCCACCTGCCCATACGGCATGTGGCCTGGGGGCCCGGTAGCTCATGCTGGTGACGCCTGGGGGGGCGCTTGTCTCACACAGATGTGTCCTGTGCTGACCCCACTGGTATAATTTGTTCAGGGTAGTGCCCTCACCCACTTTGAGGCCAGACAGCCCTGCTTTAAGTCAATAAATCTAAGAATGAAGGGACTTGTGTCAGGCCCCCCTGTTGTGCGAGTGTGGGGAATAGTTCACATCCTTGCTGGCTTTTGATGGCTTACCTGTATGCCCTTCACATTCAGTTAATGCAGGCTTTCTCTGGAATCGCATTGCACTTTAAATGCACCGGCCTTATCATTTCTCTCCGTATGAAATTGAAGATGAAATGATGCCTGATCTCTTTTTGGAGCAGCGGATTTATTTTTACCCGTTCTATCATTTCTTTCCTTTGCTTGGTAATGAATGTTCAAGCTGCTCTGAGCTCAGTCGTCCTGTGCTTAAATTGCATTATAAATTTGTGTTTATAGGTTTACAGATGCCCTCTCCGGAGTATATAGTTGATGTAGAGTCTATGGACATTTTCCCAGTTGGCTGGTGTGAAGCAAATGCTTATAACCTAACACCACCCCACAAAGCAGTTCGTAAGTACATGAAACCGCAAGCATGTCTCATCTATTTAATCTCCTGCTCCTGCCTGCCAATCTACCTAGCTAGACTCTACAACCTTGATAGTGAGTGGTTAGTAACGGTGCATCAATCAGTCCCTTTAAGAATGTAATTGCTTCCCTGGGTAAGAAATACACGTGAGTCAGTCAGGCTTGCAGGATCCGGCCTTGGGTGTTTCAACCTGGCCGTAGCAGGATCTATTTTTATGCTTTCTCACCCATTGAGACCTTAAAATTGCTTGTAAGCAATACATGGCAGACATAATGTTTGAGACAAGAATTGGGTGACGCAGAGAAGTGGTGGTGGATGGGATGTTCCTAAGTATCTGAGTTAGGAGCACAGTTCCTATGGATGTCCAAAGGGATTTGTGCCCCTAATTCATTTAAGCCCTTTGGAAAATCCTACCCATAGACTCTTTCCTGCTCCTGGGCAGGATTGAGGTTCATGGGAGACCGCATAGAAAGTTTGTACTGCTCATGCCCGTAACCTTCTCATTTGGTAAATTAAGCAGCAAACTATGATCTCTCGCTCTGAGAGCCTAAAGCCACTTCTCGGTACTGAGGCTGTATGGCTGCCTGTACATGAATGCGGAGGCTGCTCCAACATGCTGTAATTACAGCACGGTAATTACCATGCTCCAGCCAGCCTCTGCGTCTCGGGCATCAGCATCCCCGCACTTCAAAACGGCGGCAGGGGCGCTTGAACTAAAGTTTGTTGAATGAGGTTTAGATAAAGTGCCCCTGCCACCATTTTGAAATGTGGGGATGCCAATGCACAAGACGTTGTGGCACTTTAGTGGCTCTTGGAGCTGCTCTAATTAAAGTGCTGCCCCCCCCCCGACCTCTGCACCCCTGGGGCACGTGTAAAAGTGCTCTGTGTTTCCATTCCATTCTGTGCATCTGGTGTGTGACAGGCGCAGCTTTCTTGAACTCAGTCGCATCTCTGCCTTTCCCAGTGTAGTTGACCTAAGGGGTAGGGGGTGGAGGGAGAAGGGCAGGGGTGTGCAACACCAGGGAAGAGAGATAGCTGTCACTATCTCATAGCAAAATCTTCTCATTTGTGTTGCAGCAGGAGAGTAGGGTGGGACCAGGAAGCAGTTCCCTAGAGTACTTCCACACGATGCCATAATGAAGACAGACGTGATAGGTGGGAGCTGTGGGAGATGGGTAGGAAAAAAGGGTTAAGACAGCCAACGCAGTGGGGAGGAGGGGAAGACAGAGAGATGTGACCAGGGGCCAGCGTGGACAGGGGCTTTCCCCCTCCGTGGATGTCTTATGGACGTGGTCACAAGCTATAGGCTGAGATCCCACAATCGTGTCTTATCAAGCTGCAAGTCAGGCAGATCTCAACTCACAAGCTGAAAAATAACCGTTGTGCTGCTTTATATTAATTAACATTTGAAAGGCAAATTTAAAAATGTGTCAGCCCTTTTGAAGAGTTAAACATGCTCGCATTGAACATCAGGCAGCCAGACCTAATTTGGGAGAATACTGCTATGGCAACATTGTGCAGTCTTTATATCTCAATTTATAGATAGGGACAAATTAGGCTGGGAGTAATCACGCTTGTGAAATGTACTCTTACTCGTACGTGGCCCTGCACAGGAAGAGTGTTTGTGCTTTATTTTAGTGTATTTTTGTAAAAATACAGATCCCATAAACATAGACTTAGCATCGCCGTGGACAGATTAAATGTGCTATCGCATCTTTAATACAATTTTAAATGGTGTAGTGGCTTGCTTAAAAATATAAAAGAAAAAATAGTGGTGGTAATGAAATAGCATTTCATTGTGTTAAATGTTATTTTATACCCGTTGCATTTATAAGACAGATCATATCTTACCGGTTTGATACGGTGGGAGGGCTGAATACAAAAATACTAATTCGCTGTTGCTCTCCTGTTTTGCAGTGCGAAAGAAGAGAAAGATTGCAGTTGTGCAGCCAGAAAAGCAGTAAGTTTGTTTTTAAAAAATGCCTTTGCTATAGAGATGAAGAAGATTTTGCATAGGGAATAATAAATGAGATCATTTGAGCCATCAACTGTAGGTGAATCAGTGGGGAGGGACCCGTTAAAGAAATACAGGCTGTTACAAAATGTTACCCTGTGTCACATCTGACCTGTAACTTGACTTTGTGAATTCTGTGGCAGTTCTGGCATCTGTAGTCACAAAGACCCCTGCCATCCACGGGACCCTGGGTGAGATCAGTGGGACTGGTCAGGGTTTTTTGTGCTCATGTTTCAGGCTTTCAGCAGACATATTTGGGTTACTTGCTGCAATAATTGGTGTTTCGTACATGGTGTAAGGTCATTATAGCCTTAAAGGCTGGATATTCCAGGTTCCCATTTGGCAGCATAATTTCGCAACAACTTTCTTACAAGGTTTGGAAAAAATGGGCCCTTGACCATAAGACAACACAGTCATTTTAGTTGGAAATAGGGTTGTGTTATAGGCCATTCGTACATGCCACAAAATTGGCCTTTAAAGTGGCTTAATGCCCTTTTGCACTGCTTTAACGGTGCAGCTGTGTGCACGTGTCGGCAGCGCAATGCGCTTTAATGGCGGGCTGTTTGCGTGTGTCGGCGGCGTAATGCATGTTAAATGACTTTGGGACGCAGCAAAATAAAACATCTCCAAGGTGCTTTAGATTGCCATGGAGGGAAGCACCAGGCCCCGTGTATCTCAAAGGCTGTGCAGGCAGTTGGGGGCACCATCCCTCCCCCCCCGGCAGCTCAGGGACCAGTCGGCTGCCGGCAGCTTGCCTTCCTCTCCCCGCCACTGGAGAGGGGGGTAAGGGTCGGGCCCAACTGTTGTGTACGCACCACGGGTATTTACTTCGCCCTAAATTGAAGCGGTGTTTTTAAAGACCCTCCACTTCAATTTAGGAAAAATTAAGCCGAAATAAACTCCCGTGGTGTGTACAAACGCCCGAAGTAACTGTGTTTGAGTCCCCGTCTAGCTACCTTGTTACCAAATCTTTGTTGGGTATGGCACCAAACCCAAACAGCTCAGGCCCCGATCCATGATCTGTCATTTAGGCTTGTGAGATTAAGCGTATTGTATTGTCATTAAACAGGTTGCCTTCCACAGTGCCTGTTGAGAAAATACCTCATGACCTTTGCCCGGTTCCTCAGCCAGACACAACAGGTAGGTCTGCGCAGCTAGGAAGGATCTCTGCTACTTCAAGCTTCCTCGGTTTGTAGAGATGGGGAAACACTGATGGCAAAACATGCATATATCTATACAGAGGGAGACTCTTCCCAGGCTGGATCCTCAGCTGCTCTAAGTCAGTGTGATTCCACTGATGTCAGTAGAGTGGTGCTGATTTACATCAGCTGCTGCTCTGGACTGGTGAGCATGTCACCTCTCTCTTCAGGTATCTGGCTCTCCCTCAGGGTTTTAGACATGCAAGAGTCCAGTCCCACTCCCATTAGTGTTGGGCCAAATTAAGCCCCAGAGGAAACAGATAGAGCTTTTCTTATCGACATCAATGGCACCACACCGTTCACACCAGAGCTTGATGTATCCTAGTACCTCTACTCAATGCTCTCTGTGTGGCACTTCATCTCTTCTTAACCAAAGCAAGTTCTGCTTTGTCCTTTCATAATGGTAGGATATTTCTGTAGCTGATATTCAGAGAGTTCATTACAAAGAAACCTGTTGTGATAACCCTTTTGTGTGAAAGAGGCATCTTCAGACTCTCTTGTGGCTGGGTATCTTAAACATACGGGCTGAAGTGAGTTTATCATCTTTTCTTTCTATACTGTGCATGAAGAGGTGATAATATTTAGGACTAACCCTCCCTCTATTCCTGTGAGATCCTTGCAGTAGCTAGTTAAGTAGTTTAACTCCCATTTGACTGATAGGGACACTGAGGCAGCTTCTGTAGGCCATGAAGCCAAGTCTTCATTTAAAATCCGAAGATCCTGGCTTTGTGGACAGTGCCCTGACAACCTGTTCCCTCAGTGGAGGACTTGAGGAAGATGACAGCAAGTGTAAAAGGGCCATAAAAAAGCTGAAAAACCAGAGATTTGACACAGTGAGGAGATGAACTCTGATTAAAATAATATCGAATGTGACAAAAGGTCAACCAGTCGTCTGGCTGAGTCAGGTGGACGTCCTTCTCACCCAAAGCTGTGCAACAATTACAGTGTACCTACTCTGGGCTCATTGGTATCATTCACGTCCGCAGTTCACCCGCTCAGTGAGAGAGTACCCCCATTCAGACCTTGCAGCCCTTCCGGATATATCCTAACATAAAACTAAATAGGAAAATGGGTTGGTCCTACACGAGCATTTTGCCAGCTGGTGTGCTAGGCCCCTGGAAAACTAGGTGAGGAAGGATGGTCTAGGGGTTAGTGCATCAGCTTGGGATCCTGGAGACATGAGTTCAGTTTGCTGTACTTCACACGTCTTGTGTGACTTGGGACAAATTTGGCTTAGATCCCTAAGGGGGATTGAGGTGATGCAGCCACTGACTTTAACATGCCCTGCTTCCTAGTGAGGTTCACATCTCTGCTACAGCTGTCTATATAGTGGAGGTGGCTGTCCCTGGGAAGAAGAGCCAGGTACCTAAGAATGGGATTCACAGAAGTCAGCGAGCTAGCTAGGAGGAGTCTTGGAGGGCAGGGGTCTGGCTTAAGTCCCACCTCCTTACCCCCTTGCCTCTTGATGAGGGTTGTTACTTGAGGTGTGTTCAAGTCCTGTCAAAGCAGAGGGCTTGAACTGACTTATGCAGGTGAGTACTTTACTTCCAGACTGTGGGGCCTTTGGGGTGAAACTCCTTCCATCTCCCGTGTTGAGACTCTTCCACTTTGCATGGAATAAATAAATGGTGTTTGGACTTGAGAGAGAAAATGACTTTATAGTTCAGGGATTAGGCCCTTTACCTGGGAGTTGGAAAATCTGGTATCCATTCCTGTCTCCATTAAATATTAACATACTTACATAATGTGGAGCCACTTCATTAGGAAAAACAGAGAGAGTTTCCTGCCCACGCCAACATACTGTCTTACCTATGGTTAGGCTTTTCAACCCCTCCAACATCCCATATGAACACCCAAATGCTAGGTTGTTGGGTAAAATGAACTACCTTCTCCTCTTGGCTACCTTCAGTGTGGCACCCACTAGACCTGGCCTCACAGTTGAGGTGGGAGAGGCAACACTTGTAGTGAATCCCTGGGTTTGGTTGTGAGCTGGGCACCTCGCTGCTCAGTGCCTCAGGACTGGGGCAACTGGGTGCATGCAGAAAGTTGTGCAGCTGGATGACTTTACACATCAACAAGGCTAACCACACTTTATTATGCGCTAGCAGGTGCATGAGGAACAGGTCCAGGGAGGTGGTATTTCCCCCCTATGTGGCACTGGTCAGGCTGCAGTTGGAGTACTGCATCTAGTTCTGGGCGCTGCACTTCAGGAGGGATGCGGACAACCTTGAGAGGGTCCAGAGGAGGCCACTGAAGGCAAAGACCTATGAGGAGAAGCTGAGGGACCTAGATCTCTTCAGCCTTTGCAAGAGAAGGCTGAGAGGTGATCTTGTGGCTGCCTAGAAATTCGTCAGGGGAGAGCAGCAGGGAATAGGAGATGCTCTATTTACTAGGGCACCCCCTGGAGTAACTAGGAACAATGGCCACAAATTGACGGAGGGCAGATTTAGGTTGGACATCAAGAACAACTTCTTTATGGTGAGGGTTGCCAGAATCTGGAACGGGCTCCCAAGGGAGGTGGTGCTTGCCCCTACCCTGGGGGTCTTCAAGAGGAGACTGGACAAGCACCTGGCTGGGTCGTCTGACCCCAGCACCCTTTCCTGCCTAGGGCAGGGGGTCAGACTCGATGACCTACTGAGGCCCCTTCTGACCCTAGCATCTATGGGCAGGATTTTTGGTCAGGAGGGAGGGACTTTAGGTGCCTACTAGGGTAGGCTGGGCCTAGGTTGGAGTTTTACAGCTAGCAGGAAGAAGTGGCACTTTCGGTTTTATTATGTGAAAACCCTTGGCAATTTTTCTTTCTCCTTGCAGGTACCATCAATGGAAGATACTGCTGCCCCCAGCTCTTCATCAACCATCGCTGCTTCTCAGGTCCTTATTTAAACAAGGGGAGAATAGCAGAGCTACCTCAGTCTGTCGGGCCTGGCAAATGCGTGCTAGTTCTGAAGGAGGTATGACTTGCCGGTCCACTCGTGGACACAGATGCGCACGTAATGCTGTGTAAACACAAACGGGGGGAGATTAGGGCCAGAATTTGGGAAGCTGGTCCCTCAAATTGCATTCAGGATTGGGACAGTTGCACTGATCTGCACCTGTCACTGTGTCGGTGAGACAAAGCTAAGGCTGGGGAGGGGGTGTTGACTGGACTGCACAGATGCTCCTACTGATACTTAGGCAATCAAGACTCGTAGTACAGATGATATCTTTTATTAGACCAACACGAATTTTGCAAAAAACGTTCTTTAATTGCAAGCTTTTGGGCACAAACACCCTTCATCAGGCATTGGAGAAAAGATTTCTGGCTAGGGAGGATCTTGGTTTTCCACTCAAAGTCAAGGCAATCACTGCATTTGGAGCAAGAAAAGAATATTTCTCTTGGTTGGATTGGCACAGCTCGGGGGACAGGGGAGTAACGCTTGTTACCTTCCTCTGTGACATGGGGCATGGTCCTTTCTTCTAGATCCTCTATATTAATCAACTATTTCCCTGTCATTGCAATGGCAAGGCATTGGCAGTTACTGTCACCTTGGTTTTTAACTATGGCACATTATGCAGTGGTGCTGGCATTTTGAATGCTGCACTTTGTAGTTGTGAGTAACTGTTTGCATTGGTGATTTTGGGGTCCCTTAGGTAAATGATTGCTTGTGAATGCAGGGGTCTGGATTTGAGATCCCTTCCAGTCTATGTTCTAGTCCTTATGAGAAGAGAACATAAGATGCATACCGTGACTGATTAATAAGGTACAAGTCTGCAAGGTTTTGAGTCTATAGGCCTTACAGCTAGAGGACCCTGCATGTCATTGTAACGTAGTTTTCTTAAGTGTCCTGGGGTGTTGCTGTCACAAATTTTAGGTGCCCGCTCGGAATGGACCTGATCTTCAGCAAGTGCTGAGCTTTGTTGTATGTAATGCTGTAGCACCTAGGAGCCCCAGTCATGGATGGTTGTGCTAGATGCTGTACAAATAGAAGAGAGAAAGTCCTTTTTCCCAAGAGCTGGGAATCTATGGCTGGGCGAGGGGCAACAGATGGAGCCAGGCAGATGAGAGGGTACTAGAAAAAAATGAGATAACCCTGTGGGATGAGGAGGGACCTCAGAGCTTTGGGCTTTAACTCAGTTCAGCTTGCTCTGGAAAATCAGCTGGGCACCTCACAGCTGAGATACTTGAAATGAAAGCCGCTGGTGAGAAGGTTGGCGTTGCTCACTGCAAGTCCTTCTATTTGACCACCACCATCACCACTGTCACATCTGGATTCAGCGTCAACTGATTTACCCATATCTAATTCCCATTCGCAGCCAGATACTGGACAAGGACTGAGACTGCCGGGTGTGGGTCAGATGAGGAGGAGCGAGAAAAATGTATTAACCAGGCAGCGCTACAAGAGGGTGCAAAGATCAAGCTGCTTTTTTCTCATGTGGGACAGTTTAATCTGAAGCAGATGAATAAAAGAGTCCATAGCATAATGCAAGATAAAGTGCTTGCAAAGCCGAAGGTGATAGCTGCCAAATTGTAAAGTGAGGCTGGAGCTCATTGCTGATGGCAGATCTTGCTTGCTACTAATATTTTCATTCAGGGAAAGGGGTAAAAAGAAAAGAGCTACTTCAGTGTTGTAAGCAGAAGATGGAGATGAGGTTCCCCAAGCCAGAATTCATGCAGATATTTCTTCCTCCTCCACCCATGGAATATTTTGATTTTTAGAAATGCAGTGGATACAAAGCCTAGGCCAGACCATCAGCTGGCATCAAGCAATGTAACTCCATAGAGCTACACTGATTTCCACCCACTGAGGATCTAACTCCATGTGGAAACCACATAATCAGCCTTTGAAAGTCTTCACATGGGATCTGATCTCCCAAGGCTCTGCTTCAGCTACAGCTACAACTGGGGGAAGATGTGCCAAATTAAACCAAAGTGGGACCCAGATCTTGGTGGTTCACAAGCCACTTCATTCACATCTTCTTCAAATTAATTAACACTTAATTCGCAGCAATGTGTTGAATTACAGATGAGCTGCTTAGCTGTTTGCTCAGAGGGAACATCTACAGGTGTTTGCTGCAGCTCTGTATATCCCCAGATAGTTCACAAGCCCACATCTTTGCAGGGGAGGCAGGAACTTTGCAAAGCCCCCAGTCTCTACGGTAGTCATGCATTGCACATGGAGGTGCACATGACTTTTGGAGGGGGGAAGGCAACAGTGAGTCCGGCCCAGGGTGTCTTCCTGGAAAATCCATAGCCATCCAGTATCACCAGTGCACAAAACCCGCTTCCCGCTATGAAGTATTTAGATGGTTACTTTTCCAACTACAGATCTGAACGCCACACAGACCAGACCGACTCGAGTGCTACGGTGGGAGGGTCGCTTGCTAGTCTGTATGAAAAGCATGTGACAGATGTTGCCCAGTTTTGAGAGGCTGCCTTGCTCATGTCACACAGATTGCCCTCATAGTGGAAGTACCCAGAGGTAGTCGAAAGAGATGGATTCAAATAAAAAATGTGGTCAAATGAGTGAGGTCCACAACTGATTTTCCACACACATTATAGAAGAAGCCAGACAGAGGCAACCACAGTACAATTGAGGGCAAGTGTATCCTTGCATTTGTGCCTTCATGTTTGTCTTAGTTCTTTGATTATAGGTTTATCCGTAGTCTAGCTGCTCTCTTGGCTGCCTTTGGGGGAAAAAAAAAACACTAGTGATAATATTTGTAGTTTTATTTTCTCCTAGACTCTCAGAAAAATAACCACCGCTATTGGCTAAGAAATGGATTGAGGAAAAACTGTCCATGATGCCAAACCACTTTACTGTAAGGAACGCCTTTCACCCTCTGATTTGCAGTTGCATTGCAAGGTTAAGATGAGCAGTGGGAGGGGAGTGAGGGAAGGACAGATAAGAAAGAAGGTGGATTTGAAATAAGATATGGAGTCAGGAAGGGAGGAAAGTTGTTCTGATAAAGGAGTGCTGCAGAGAAGACAAGTATCCCAGGTTGTAGCTGTATTGGTCTAGAGGAAAAGGCAATTGGGACTCATAGTAGAGATGATCTCTTTTCTTAGACCAACAAGGTTTTTGCAATTAAAGAATTTTTTTTGCAAAAACCTTGTTGGTCTAAGAAAAGAGATCATCTCTACTATGAGTCTGGATTGCAGAGAAGACAATGCTCTCACTAGGGTGGTAAATAGCACAGAGATGAATTCACTGCTGAGCGGACAAGGAGAAGTGAGGCGGGAATAGTGGAAGACCTAGAATCCTACGAGCTGAATTCTGATTAAGTCCTGATAAAAAGCTCCCTGACATCGGGAGGAGTTTCCCCTTTCATTCCAGTGGGCTTTGGATCACATCCATATGCCAGCATGAATCCCGAATAACTTCCTGGAGCCACTGGTGTCTGGTGAGAATCATGAACTGGACATGGGTCGCATCATGTATAGCAGGAGGGAGGAGCAAGCCCGAGAGCTGCAGATGGGCATCTGTCAGGGGTTAATTGTTAAAACCGCATAGTGCTGCAGTAAGGATCAAGTCCAATTACCATTAGAGTTAAGCGAATTCCAGGTAATGGGAGTGAGACAGGCTGAATGGTAGTGATTTGTGCGTTTGCATTGCTTGCACCATTTAGGAGTGCCAGTCCATAGCTCTGCTAGGGGTTGTCCGCACCCAGAACAAAGAGACGGCGCCTGTTCCAAACAGCTTTGTGCCCTGTAAGAAGTGCTCTGCCATGAACTTGGCAGAGAGTCACACAGATCCCTGTTGACATGACGTTCTTTGAGCCTCGCGTCCTAGTTCATGGAGTGAAGAGACAGGGTGAAAGAAAACCCATCTATAGCTCTAGTCCTAATTCATTCGGACACAGGAGCCCCGACTGTGTTAGAAGAAAACCGCGGCTCTATTCAGAGTCCATCATCCACAACGAGCCAGATAAGGGGGTACGGCCAGCTTCTTAAGTGATGTGGATCGCAGTGGCTTCATTGTAGTTAGTAATGCTGTTCCTGCTTATGGTAGCTGAGGATGTGGCCCGGGGGATGTATTGCAATTATACATATATAAAATTTGCAGACGGTTGTAAATTATGCCTCAGTGTTTCGTGTTGGGAAGGTATAAATTATACATAGGATTTACTTCGGCAACACAGGGCTAAAAAATATCAATGGCACAAACTGAATCAACTCAGTGGTAACCTTGGGCCAGCTTTTGTTCCAACCACGTTGCTTTCCAGCCATAAATCATTGCTTTTAGAGGCGCTGTAGTTAAAATGTAAACCTATTTGGCCTCCATCCAGTTTCTCATGGGGCAGGAATCCATGCGACAAAGCCATCGTCGTGGTTGGCACTAATAGCACAGAGGCCCAAAAATGAATGAGCATGAAGGACGATTTCCTTCCTGTCTTGGAAGCTGGTCTTTTCAGGTCAGGGTGGAGGCATTTTGGCTGGGCAGTGCAGAGAGAGTAGCTTCCCTGCCATTAAGATGAAGGGAGAAAAGGAATTTCTTGTTAGCCTTAGGCATCCAGTGGTCCTGTAGCATCATTCACTGGCAGACCGTACTGAAAAACCCCAGCCCAAAGGGGTTAACTGGGTCACCCTTGGAAAAGGGCTTGAGATGCATTTTCCATTGCACTAGGGAGAGATTTAGCAGCACTGCTGTGAGGTTGTGCTTATTAAAATATCTCATCCCACGGTAACAATTTCCAGCCCAGGACCTGTTCCTGCTTTGCAGATGCTCCCTTTGATAGTGGGGGGTAAACTGTGGCCCAGATTAGTTGAATAAAATGTCCAACTTGACCTGCAACCCAGCGGCAGAGATGGAAGTAGAAGTGTTCATGACCCCCGTTTCTAACTCCTAGACCATTCAGCTGGGCAGTGGAGATTTATGTCACAAAAGCCCTCTTTGGGTAAGAAAGCTGCCACAAAATCAGCTTGCACGTGAATTTAAAGCACGGCAGCCATTCTGCACGTGCTTGCTTCTTT